AAAAAAGCTAGTTGGCTCTCCGCTGGCAGTGCTCTGAGACGGGAGACTTGGTCATCAGAAGTGTGTTGGGCAGTCGGGGGGATCTGTGGGTCTGGGAGGACACAGCTGAGGTAACCGCAAGAAGTGCTCGCGGCCTGGGATGTAGCTCAGTGGTAGAGTGCCTGCCTGGTGTGTGCCTGGCCCTGGGCCTCATTCCCAGCACTACCAGAAAAATGCCTTGATTAGTTTTGATGAATGGACACAGAAATGTTTGTGTTTGATATTTTTAGGCATCTGAGGGAAGAGCCTGATGGGCATAGATGCATATTAGTGGACAAATATTCTTCTCAGCACATCCACTGGGAAATAACTCTTGAGCATACGCCCCCAGGCTGTGTTAGGGCTGCTAACCTGTAAGAACTTGCAATTCAGTGACCAGTCAAAGGCCTCTAAAGCCCTCAGCCTCCTAAATCTTAATGTATTAACACCCTTACTAATTTCTCAGCTGTTTTTCATAGTTGCACCATTTATCTGACTGAGTGCTTTATTTATAGTCTGACAATGCTTGGTAGCCCCAGGCAGCTAAACGTGGCTGGATAACAGCATCCTACCTCCTTCTTGTTGCAAACTATGGAGCTGGCGAGCCATCCTGGAGAAAGGAGAGGCGTCTGTCTGGTTTTATTTATACATGCTGCAAGAATGTGTCTGCATTGTTCTAGGCTCTTTCCTCGTCATTCTCTCCTGTTGACTACGCAGGAGAAATGTTTGGGGTCTACTGGATAAACATCATGGAGTCCAAAGATATTAAGACTTTAATACCTTACTCAAGTCCAAATTTCTGGGGCAACAACTCAAGTCAGCCACTATGTTTCTTAAGGAGAAGCCACAAGCAGCAAGCTCCAGGGCACAGACAAGTTAGTCATCCTGTCTTTAAGTTCCCCGGGGTGTGAGTAATTCTTGAGGTTTCCTGGTGTGGTCTTAAGATTCTAGTTGTTCTATTCTGGTTGCTTTCAATTCATTTGGTTTTCTGCCCACTGGAAAGCAAAGGTAAATCCAATCTGCTAAGCCTTATCTCAAACCTATCTAGAGAGATCTGTGGACTTCCTGGGGCTTTACTTTTGCCCTTTGGTCCCCAGGAAGTTGCTCCTTTACACAGAAGCATTTCTCCAGGCCTAATTTTGTTTGCAACTCAGCTATGCCGAATGAAGAAACCATCGACATTGACCTTGACATTGAACCACTGTCCTTGACATTGAACCCCTCCACTGGGTGGAACAGGTATGCCTGTCATGGTGAGTCTGCCGAATCCCGCCTCTTATATCTGTTGGCACTGCTTCTGCCCTGAGCAAAGGAGCTGGAGGGAGACTTTCGACCTGGGAACTGGTGAAGATTTCTCCCTACAAGGAAGCAAAAGGGAAAGGGCATGCCCGTTTGTGGTGCTTCTGTTCATCTCAGGCAATCTCTAGGCTCTCACTTGCCTTAATTTATCTTTATCGTCTGTCTCCCTGCCTCCCACCATAGTGTAAATCGCCTGAGCACAGGGTTTGTTGAATTCACGTATTGCTGCATCCTCAGAGCCTTAAGCAATATTGTCTTATTTGTGAGTGTGCAAAAACATTGAAGTGAGGAAGAAACTTCTGCTAATGACAGGCACTGTCCATACCCTACACATTTAACACAGGTAAGTGTTACTGTAATTATCCTACAGGTGAAGAACCTAAGGAGTTATGGACAAGGTCACATAACTTACACAAGGTCATGTAGTCAGGAAATAGTTGAGCCAGGATTTGAGCCAGGATAATAGTCTACCTTGAGGACGCTAGCCTGTTTCTTACACTCAAAAATTAAAGAAATGCTTAGAGGGGACTATGTTTCATTCTTTAAAAGATCACATTGTTCTATACAGGTAAAATTTAGGGTTGGCTATATATATGGGGTGCGGGGGAGAAAGGCTTGGTTAAGTGCTCGGACACAAGAAGAAGCTCAATCAATAGGAGCCTTGCCTTTTGGGCTACCTGCCACTGGGCAATAACAAACCCTAGAAGCCCAAGATGTGAGGATCTGTGAAGAAAGAAGAAATGTGTGGAGCATTCGGAGAGCAGGTGAATGGGTCCCCCGGACTATGGGTAGAGGAAGCAGGTCAGGGAAAAACAGCCTGAGAAAATGGTTTTAGAACAGAACTAAATTTACCCTGGGAATGAGAGTTGTACAAGAAAAGCAAATAGTACATAACTAAGACTCCCAGTACAAACATTACAGAAGCACTGACAGAAGAAACGGCCAAGAGGTAGTTTAGATTTAGGGACAGCTGCTCAGAGAAGAGGTATGGGCTAGAACTTATTATTTGGAAGCCATCAGCCTATTAAGAGTCATTGAGATCAGAGGTGTAGGTAAGATTACCTTGGGAGAAATTATATAGCAAGAAGGGACCAGGGCCCAGCACTGAACATTAGGGGAGTCTACATTTGGTGAGTTGGTTGAGGAGCAAGTGCCAGCAAAAATCAAGGAAGGTGCAGGCAGAGAAGCAGGAAGAAATACAGGGAGCATGGCCATGCTAAAAGCCCAGGGAAGAAAGGCTCACAAGGAAGTCACCTGGTACTGCTGGAGACAAGAGAAAGGAAGAGAGAGATGAACTGGCGGCAGCAGGAGGCCACTGCTGACCTTGGGGACAGATTGGGTGGGGTAAGAGATGGGTGTGGGCTGGGAGAGGAGGGAGTGGAAACAGCCTATCAGCATCAAGCAGTCAGCTAACTTGGGCCTACATGCCTAACCAAGCCAGGGACCCGTGTTTGGTTGGCTTGGTTTGAGTTTGTTTTGTTTTGTTTTGTTTTGTTGAGGAGGTCTGTTTTTGCAAATAAGCTTTAGTTGGAACACAGTCATTCCTATTCATTTACATACTATGTTAGGGGCTACATGTGTACACATCTTCCACCCAATTTTTAAAATTATATATTTAAGGTTTAAATCATGATAAATATGCACACCCACTGAAATGTTTTTATAGTTAGGCAAATTAACTTGTCTGTCTTCTCACTAGTTACCTTTTGTGGGCATGGTAGAAATCTACACCCCTTCTCTTAGCCAGTTTCCAGTATACAATGCTATCTTGGTCAGTTTTCTGTTGCTATATCAAAACACCCAAGATTGGTAATTTACAAAGAATAGAGGTTGATTTAGCTCATGGTTCTGGAGACTGAGAAGTCCAAGACCACAGGACCAGCATCTGCTTGCCATCTGTGGGGGCCTTCTTCCTGCATCATAACATGGCGGAGGGCACCACATGGTGAAGGGGCGCAGGCATGCTGGAGAGACCTCACTTTTATAGCAGTGCCATTTCCTTGATAACCCATTAATCCATGAGAGGATTAATCCATTTATGAGGCCAAAGTCCTCAAGACCCAATCACTTTCCAAAGGTCCCAACCCTAAATACCATTAACATATGAATTTGAGGATTATGTTTCCAGCACACAAACAAATTGGGGGACACAGGCAAATCATAGCAAATATAATATTAACTATAGCGTCCCTCTCCAAATTAATGTGTTGAAGTCCTAACTCCAGTACCTCAGAACGTGACTGTATTTAGAGATGGAGACAGAGTTTTTAAGAATTAGGTTAAAATGAGGTCATATGGTGGACTGCAATCCAATAGAACTTGTATCCTTAGAAGATATTGTAGCTCAGTGAGAAAGCACATGGCTAGCACGCGTGAAGGCCTGGATTTGATCCCAGCAACACATACAAACACAAGATTAAGACACAGACACACACACAAGAAAGAACACATGAAGACTCAGAGAGAAGATGGCCATCTACTAGCCAAAGAGAGGGCTCAGAAGAAACCAACTCTGCTGACACCTTGGTCTCAAAATTCCACCCTCCAGAACTGTAAGAAATACATTTCTGTCCCTTAAGGCACCCCAGTGTGAGGTTCTTTGTTATGGCGGATCAGCAGACCAATGGCTGTCACCATCTTCCAACAGCTATGGAGGTGAAGAATGGCAACAGAGGGCAACTGATGAATAAAGCTAGAAATATTCAGTCGTTGAGCCCTCACACAAGGTATTTGTGGACCTCTGGTGTGGACAACTGTTTCAAGGTCATTTAGTTGGCACATTCCAGAGTCAGTATTTGAACTCACACTGGCACCAGTGAGTGCTTTCCTCTGGGAGCTTGCTGTCCTTACTCCACAAGGAGTGCTGAGTCAGAAAGCGTAAAGCAGGATGGCTCTTTTATTTCCTTCAGTTCATGCTCTGACCTGTGGGCAGCTGTTCTGGGGAAATGCCAAGTCATAAATAACTCTTACATTAATGCCAAGGCAGCCGGAATGGAAATGTCACTAGGAAATGCATTTCAAATAACTGCCAATTGCATAATTCAGCCAGTTTTTAAGACTATTTGTCACAGCAGGATTTCCTTAATTCGAATTATGGTAAACTGATAATCATTCATAAATGTGGAAGAAACTTACCTTTGCTTGGACATTTAACCCAGATAGATAATATGACATAAAAATTGAAGACATTCTCTGGCCATTTAGGATGGCCAAATGGACCAGAACAAATAGAGGAGCAATTGGTCTTATTTATAAAAACTGATCCTTGTATCTTTAAATCACCCAATACAGTCGCAGTATTGTGATATTCTCTGTTGGAGCTTATAATCCAAAGGCATCAGTTCTACTCAACAGAGTGGCTCATTAGTGTAACTTCATCCTTTCAGGAATCTAGCACACAAGGAAGCCCTCGGGATCAGCTTCATTCCCAGGAAGGGCCCCTCTGGGTGGTGCCCAGAGAGATGGGAGCTGCATGTCCAGGCCTGTGGATGAATGGGCGAAGCCAGGGAGGTGGAGAAAGCAGCCCCCCCCCCCAACCCATCATGGCCATGAGGAAACAGGCTAGCTGTTCTGAAATCTTCTGCTTTTTCACAAAAAGCCGGAAATCCAGATTTCATCTGAAATTTCCCCATTTCTAAATCATAATGACCAATCCAAATTAAAAGGAAAAGGAAGAGACTTACTCTTTTTTGGGTCTGTGGGCTGGATCATTGATGGCACCTGCTCTGGTCAGACCATATCGGAAGGTTGAGGGGTCACAAGATCACATGAGTGATCATCACTGAACATGTGTTTCAAGACCGCTTCCATGTGTGGGCCTCACACATGCATTTCTGTGGCTGTTTCTGACCCACCCAGTCTCATATCCAACTTCCCTCTTTATTTATGGTTACTTAAATTCTTGGGGTTATTGAAGCCCAAGCCGCTGCTGCTGGAAATGTCAGTTTCTGAACCTCATGTTCTCAAAGAAGGACCTGCTGGGTCAGCAGGAAGGTTGAGAAACACCCTGTCAGTCTTTGCAAGCCTGGTGTGAGGCTCCCTGCCTCAGTCTCTGCCATGGTCCCCATAGAAGTCACCAAGGAGTAGAAGAAGGAGCACTAAAAATACCAGATTTGCCATCTCTGCATTCTTTTTTCTCCAGCAAATGTCGATACACACTTTGACTCTCCAGTTGTTTTTCTAGTTTGTTCACTGATTCATTCACTCAGTAAATATGTATGAAAGAAGTAATGTATGCTGAGTACCATGAGAGTTACTGGGAAGGCCAAGACAAACCAGACCCTGCCATGGAAGGACCTGTGCTGACTGGGGTTACGGACTAAATGGTCATGTCCTCACCTGTCTTAGGCACTTTCTCATTGCTGGGACACAATGCCCAACATCCACAACTTAAAGGAGGAAAGCTTTATTTTGGCTCATGGTTACAGTCCATGGCTGGATGGCTCCAAGGCAGTAAAAGCATGGCAGAAGGGGACGGGGTGGAGAGGGGGGAACTGCTTACTTCGTGGCATCCAGGAAGCAGAGAGAAAAGGGAGGAGCCAGGGAGGCTACTCCCTCAATGATCCACCTCCAATCAAGTCAGCATATTTAGCTGGCAGCATATTTAGCTCTGAGCTCATTTGTGGTCCAAAAGTCCCACCTCTGAGCACATGAGGCCTATGAGGAACATTCTATCAAAAGTATAACACCATTCCCCCACCCCCCAAATTTGTAAGTTAAAATCCTACCCCCACACACACTCTGAGATAGTATTAAGAGGTGGCCCTTTGGGAAGTGATTATAAGGATGAAACTCTTATGCATGGGATTAGTATCTTTAAAAAACAAATTTCAGAGAACCCTTCTGGTCCCTTCAGCCATGTAATGACCCAGCAAGAAAGAAGCCATCTATAAACCAGGAGGCCAGGCCTCACCAGACACAGTATCTGTGGGTATCTTGATCTTGAACTCTTTAGCCTCTAGAACTGTAATTGTTTGTCTGAGGCACCCAGTTTATGGTATTTTTCTTTATGGCTTCCTGAAAGGACAAACACGTGTAAGTTCTTGAATGATCCAAAACTGAGAGTCAGTTATGCCTGTTGATCACAATTCCCACATATATGTCTTTGTCTTTGACATCCCCTCCCAGGTAAGGTGAAGTTGGCTTGAAGTGCACAAGAGATACTAATTTGAATGAGATTCCATGGAGATCTTTAGAAAAAGCAAGCATTATTTTTCATAAAGGCATTTAAAAATTTTGTCTTTATTTTTTATTAATAGACTTTATGTTTTAGGGTAGTTTTAGGTTTACCATAAAATTTCAAAGCAGGTTCAGGGTTCTCATATACATTCTTCCTGCTTCCATGGACAGCCTGCCCTGATATCAAAATCCCACATGAGGAGGTACACTTGTTGCAATCAATGAACTTACACTGACATGTCATTTATCACCCGAAGTCCATAGTTTCTACCAGGTTTCACTCTCAATGTTGTACAGTCTGTGGGTTTGGACAAATGTAGAACAACATGTGTCTACTGTTACGGTACCACACAGAAGAGTTTCAGCAGCCTAAAAATCCTCCGTACTGCACATATTGGCATTGGTTTGTAAAATTTAAAATGTTTAAGGTCAGGATTGGTAAAAGGTTTATAACTCAGACGAAGGATGAGCTGATCACTTTAGAGAATGAGCTGGTCAGCATCACAGCAGAGTCCCAGGGGCAAACCACATACTCTGATATAGGAATATAGAGGATTTCCCACCAAGTTAGGTAAGATTATTGAATAGCTTTAAGGTATCTAACTTTGATGAAACAGCTACAAGGGATCAGCATGGTTATCCTGGAACTACTACCCTCTCCATCTCCCAGCATTGATCAGTCAAACCATTTGGAAGCCTTTGCATTCAAATACTGGCAATACCGTATTGTTTCCTGAAGAAAAATGACCTGAATTTCTAGCTCAATTTGAAAGTACTTGTTTCAGTGGAGGACATCTATATTTGCTGGTCAGGGGCTGATCAGATCCTCGGATACCGGTAGGAAGGACAAAAGGAGTAAAGAGAGACTGAGGCAATACCTGCCTCTAGTGGACAAGCTCTATAAACTCTGTAGTTGCCCCTCTTTTATTAGCCAGCAAGAAGCACAGGGAGAGGGGGAATGTACTTTTCCTGGAACAGTGACTGCAGTAAGAATGGGGTGATAAAAACTGAGGAACAAGTTAATCCTCACAAAGGGAACAAATTAAAGAGGATTAAGTCCTTCCCCATACCTGGATTCCTGCATTTTTTGCATTGTCCTCAGCAGGTGTTTTCTTCCCTTGGGAGCACTGTGATTACAAGCTTTCCCCACACAGCCAGGAAACATTCAGCCTTCCACATATTTCCCTAAAGCAAGTCACACCAGTCTCAGTACTGTAGAACCTAAGTCACATAGCCTGGTCCCCAACATTTTCTGCACGTAGCTTGGTCCTCAACATTTGCTGTATTTTCTGCTAGATATACCAGGAAAGAAAGATATCTCCAGTCCCCTGTCTACTAGATTTATGTTAGGAAGCCTTAATCCAGCCCAGGAAGAAAAACCTACTCAAAGAAACATTTGCAAAATATTTTATATTTTGCATAATGAAATTATATTTTTATATTAATTATATTAACATTTTATTTTTATGAACACATCACCTTGTATTTTGTTTCATAACCAAAGTAGATGTTTGTAGATAGTTTGAATAGGCTTCCAGGTTTGGGATAGAGAGTAATGGTTCAACCTGAGCCATTCCATTTTGATTATTATTCAGGAAACATTTAGGGGTTTTTTTGCAGGGCGGGGTGGTGGTGGTGGTGGTGTTTGTTTTTGGAGCTAGGGATCAAACCAGGACCTTGTGTATATGCTAGGCAAGTGCTCTAGCAGTGACTTACATTCCTACATGAGCTTGTGAGTGTGGAATCACCTATCCTTAAATCTATGTCTGACCCAACTAGAAAAAGAGGTACAGCAATTCCTTGAGAGAAAAGAGCTTCGCATGAAATTAAAAGAATAGTCAACCATGTTTATTGCAGAATCCAAATGACTCTGGGTATGCGCACATTGAAGAACATACACCAGAGAAGGGGAATGGCTCTTAATGGGTGGAGTGAAATGAACCTCCTTGGCCAGAATCATCAGAAAGCCAGCTCAATGGCTGGGGAACAAGCACAGTGTTGAAAACTGCACTCTGAGGATGTTCCTATGGGATCTAACACGTTTGTGGGGATTCTCCAAGATATCAACAGGGAAAGGAATCAAGATGCAGATGCCTTCCACTGCCTGCCTTGCAAGAGCAAGGTCCCAAGTTCGATCCCCGGTACCAAAAACAAAAAAAAAGAAGTAGATGCTAGGTCCCTACGGCTATGGTCCATAGGCCACAAGAGACCATGGACAGCTAGTAAAGCAACCCCATGAGGTCATAAACTTTTAACATCATTATATAACTTTTAAAGATATCTTTCATGGCTCCATCAAGTGGTGATGGAGCATGCACTGTGTAGGCAATGGTAAAAGACTGTGGGAGGCACAGTGTACGGCCAGCTCTGCCCCTGGGCTTACCACACATTCAGTCCTCCGAAACCTGAGTGTGTAAGACATTGCATGCGCTTGTAAGAGCTGATGATTAAAATGCTAATAGGAGTGTTTCAGCCTACCTACATGTGTGAGAAGGCAGCTGTTCATTGTCATTAAGCAGACGAGCAAATTTTCTTTTTTAGTATTTAAGCTTGAGCTTGTGCTATGGCCTAAAGTAATTTAATAAGTTAAAACAGTTTTTAGCAGCCATGGTCTAGGAAGTACAAAAAGGCCTCAAACGATTTTTTTTGCCCATGGTATCCTTATAATTACACATTGCTAATACTAGAATGGTATAGCACAAATATTTTAAAAAGGAAGTTTTGTTACTGATATACATTAACCATATTGTATATTTTATATGTGGCCCAAGACAATTCCTCTTCATTCAGTGTGGCCTAGGCAAGACAAAATTTGACCACCCATGCCCTGCAGTATTGTGGCCAAGAAGGGGATACTGATGTAGTGAAATGATGTGTTAACAATGACTGTGGTCTCATTTGTGCCCCGGCCAGGTACTATGTTTGCTAACTAAGCTTAATTGTATCAACTCACTTGGCTTGGGAGATGCCTAAGGGGTTCTTAAAGCACGCTTTGGGGAGGGTGCCATGGATTTGTGACTTTGGGTACTATCTATGTTCCCTGGGCCCCTCCTCTCTGACACTGTTCCTCTTTTCTATTTGCAGCCACCATGAACTGAGCGGCTCTGCTCTGCCAAGCCCTTCTGCCATGATGTTTCTGTCTTAGAGGCAGCTGACCAGGGACTAACTTTCTTGGAACTGTGAGCCAAGTTAACCTTCTCCTTCTTTAACTTGTAGGTGTCAGGTATTGTGTCCTAGTGATAGAAAAGCTGACTAATACACCAGGCTATTGTGTCTCAGCCCTAGAACCACTCTTCTGTACTCTGCTGAGTGGTTATGGTGCTGGGTCTCCGCAAACCACAGTGTTGCTTGCAATTGGCCCCCTATAAGCTCTGCCTGCATGGGTACTAGAGAGAGTGCAAAGCTGGGGACGGGTGAAGCCCATGGTCCTCCCTGTGACATTCTGCTCCTGAGTGGCACCAGGCCATGCTTCCTCGCCCTGCAGCAGCATAGGGCCTTCCTCTGGCCACAGCTGGGTGCAGTTTGCAGTATGTTCAGCACTTACTGCACCAGCCTCATCACATCCCCTTCGAGACATCACCTCTGATGTCTGGCACCCCCTTTAGGGTCTGGGTTTAGCTCTGTGTTCTTCCTCAAAACATCTGAGTTTTAATAGTCTCCACCTCTTCCATTTCCCCCCGGACCCTAGAGGCGATTGCTGCTTCCTATAGTTGCTACCTCCATGACAGTTTAGTGTTAGTGTTGTTTTATC